GTTTAGAGCGAGTAAAATAAATCAATTAGTTTATTTCAATGAAAGACTTGTTATTTTTTGTAGCTTTATTAACCATCTTATTTCAGACATTCATCAGTGATCCACACACAGTTTTTCTCTTCCTATCTTTATTTTTTGAAAAATGGTTATGAGCCTTTACCTTCATTTCATCATTTCTATCCCAAAATGAAATTTTGCCATTGATTAAATGATTGATATTTTTGCACCAATTATTAATAAAAAATACTGCACATTTCTCTGTTATGAATTCTTTTAGTTGAATTTGGTGTTCTGTGCATTGTAAAAAATTTAAATCTAAATTAATCTTTATGATTAACTTTATATATGTCAAAATATTTTTTTTATTGCAATTTTCTTTTTAAACTTCTATTGTTTTCAGCATTGGTAACATAGTCAAATAGGTTTCGGGTAGGATAGCACAACCAGCTTTTGTTTTCAAACTCTTTTAAAATTATATAAGTATGAAATATCTGCTTTTCTTTAGCTTCTATGTTGTTTTTACATAATAAACAGCTTATATAAAATTTTTTCTTTGCTAATTGTGCTATCCAGCCACTACAGTATCCAATTGCTGCGGATTTTTCTACTTATTAAACTTTCTGTATTGATTAAATCAATGCATAAATGAGCATTTTCAATTTCAACTTCACATTCAGTGGGTATATCATCTACGTCTTTAGTCAATAGTTCTTTTAGTGTTTGCAGACAAACGCTATCATCCATTTCGCAATTTGATCCCACTGAATGTGAAGAAGAAATATTGTCAATAAGCAATGTTTTAAAGGCCCCCTCAAAAGATTGTGATGTAGGCATCGTATTGCTGCAGGCATGAGCCCTTATTGCCCCAAAAAATTTCTCCGATGCGTCTTGGTTGAAATTTCATAACAATAATGAATTTATGCCTTTTGAATTCAAATAAATAAAATTCTTTTGAAGTTTTCTACTGTTTTTATCCAGCTGGACAACGATGGAACTATCCCATGATTAATTCCATTATTAAACCTCATGCTCCTTAAAACTGGAAGGCTTTTGTTCCATAATTTATGATGAGGCGATGTTGGTGTCACTGCGTTTTCCCCCCTTTTGGTTTGCTAAAGCTGCCATTGACACTGTTGAATAAGTCATCAAAAAACATCAACAGGTCTGCAGTTTCAGTGCATTCTTTTTCAAGAACTCCAAACTCTGCAAAGAAAATATAATGTTTGTTTAGGTTTGTAATGGAAAATATAAGTTTTTAGTTTATAGTATGTATGTACTATGTATACCAGAAAAATTTTCTATAATAAATCTGCTCTCAAATATATAATAAAACATATGGACTCTAAAATTTCATAATAATAATAATCATCATCATCATCATCAGCCCTTTTACGTCCCCACTGCAGGGGCTCAGGCTTTCCTTGTGGATGGTTAAGGAGGATGGGCCATGACCCTCCACGCTGACCCAATGCGAATTGGAGTGAATAGACGACTGTAAATGCAGCCGGGACCAACGACTTAACGTGCCTTCCGAAGCATGGAGTAGCTCGAGGTAATAATTTTTTGGTCACCCATCCCATGACCGACCCTTGCGAAAGTTGCTTAACGATAACGATCGCGGGCCGCGGCGCTTATCTACTACGCCACCAAGCTATTCTCATAATAATATTAAAAAATATCACCTGTCATTACTCCAATAGCAGCTCCAACAGTTTTACTTAACACTTAAGTGCAGTGTTTCACTCTCATTTTTAGTAATAATGATGGCACTACATGATGAGCTGTCAACTTAGGTGCCATCTTCACTCCTTTGTAGCCTGGGCATCTTTCATATAATTGTAGAATGTGATTCCACTTAGCAGTACATTCCTTTCCATTCATGTTATATTTTTAATTTTTTGTTAACAAATTATACCTGATCCCTTTTATTAAATGAGGTGGGTCATAGAGTGAAAATACTTTTTGTCTCCAACTTCGAAAAATCCTTCTGTATAGTGCTGCCCTCTTCTCAAATACATTTCGTTAGTATCTTTTAACAACAAGTTTATAGCAGCAATATTTGATGTAGTTTGGTCACATACTGCTGCTACCACCATAAGACCAGTTTCTGCAATTTTAATAATCATATTCTTTATTAAAGCTTTAAGTTCCAAAGCTTTAAGCTTTAAGTTCTTGTACTGCCACTGCAAAAATAATAGGCCAGTGGCTGTTTATATTTTTTAACAATGCCTCTAATTAAGAAAACAAGTACATGGTTACTGTACTATTTGCTTCATTGCTCCATTATCAACAAATCCTGTGATATATTTTTTTTTTATCAAAGCTGATGCTTGGTGCTATTGCCATTTCATCAAATACCAAGGTGCAGTATTTAAATTTATCTGGCATTCTCCTAACTCTGGATTTTAGCTTGTCAAATAAAATTTCATTTATGCCTTTAACTGGACTTTATACAACAAAGTCTGCAATGTTTGTCTACTAGGTAAAATACAAAATTTTCTTAACAGACGATACGCCTTAGGTGCAGGTTTGTATAATGATAGCGCTAAAATCTTTTCATCAATGGTAAATCGATGCCCTTGCTTTTTCTTATTTCCATGTGACATTTGCATTCATGGCATAATAATTTTGCAGTAGGTGACATATTTTTGGAAATAATTTGGAAAGCAGAGGTTTTCATTAAAGATTTAGCAAGAGCCAATTTTTGTTTAAAGCTCCTTTTTTGAGCTTCTCATTTTTTCAATTTATTCACAATTATTTTTTATTGTTTATGGTCTTTTAGAGAAACACCTGCAACAAATTTCATGAAATGTAAATTAAAGCCTCAAAAATAAATAGTTTCTTTTTTTGCATTACACACTGTACAAAAATATTCAGAATAACTGAATATTTTTCAGATTTGCAGATTGTTTCCAATTTCATGCAGCAATTTTCAAATTGGATAATCGAGATATATTTTTACAAAACATACCTTTTAATTTTCTTGGCAACAGGTGTTTGTGTCTTTCCAAGGTTTGTATGCTGACCTGGAAATAATAAGAAATATAGTTATTTCATGGATATCATTTGCTTATCAGTCTCTGGCTCAAAATATTAAAGATTGGCCTATGTTACACAACATAGATTTGCAATTTTGAACAAAGGGACATTAAATTTTTGTATAACTATATGTTGACTCATGAATTTTCCTTTATATAAAAAATAATATTATATTTAAGATGATTATTTAACTATTTTAATTTTCATCAGGAAAACGTTTACCAACCTGATGTGCCGGCATGTAGTTGAGAAGGTACAAAATGTGAGCTACATGGCAAATCCGCACTTGCAACTATGTGAGGTTCTCCAGTTGATTGCACTGAACATGAAGAAAAAAACATTTTATAATATTTTATTTTATAATAAACATTAAAAATTAACATGGAAAGCATTATTTGAACAATGGTATAAGAAACTAGCTTTCGCCCACAAGGTCTTATTTTGTACATATAAACCTTCCTCTTGTACCACTCTATATATTGATGAAAACCACATTAAAATACATAATGTTTTTTATAAGAACTCAGCTTATAGAAAACATATTTGTTTTCTACTATTTCATTTTTACTTTAAACTTTTTATAGTTTGAAAAATTATTCACTGGTCATTGTTAATCACATATGAATGAATTTTAATGCATAGCCTGCTGCTTCCATCTTTAAATAGATAGGTAGACATTCAATATGCAGTATTATTTATAAATAATAAATTACCTGACATATGAAGTGTAGGCATTGCTATGTTGCAGTCTATTATTGGGATATTTATAAATATCTAGAAAATGTTTTCCACAAATATGCATGTTATTATATATTTTGATTGGATCCAGATGAGTTATTTCTCCACCAACATTGTCTAGCCATTTTTTAAATTTCTCTGTTTTAGTTCTAGGTTCAGGAAACCGGTGCAAAGGGATACCTGAGTAACATAATAATATGTATTATTCTCTGCTTTTCACACAACAAATTATTAGTCCTTAATTATTTGTATAATGGATGAACAAATAACAATTCTTAAATTGGAGGCACATAATAAGTTTTTTAATGAATATTGTATTCTACGATAGCTCAAAGAAAAATACCTGAAAAACATTTGAATTATGAAACTCCACGTATAGGTATAAAAATCGGTTGAAAACTGACATTATAGTACAATTCATAAAGTATTTATTGTACAAACTAAAAGGCACTTACCGCTATCCTTAGTCACTGAACATTAAAGTACACAACAACGGTTTTGAGCCATGATTTTTTGAGCAAAGTTCAAATTAAAAACAAGTAACATTTCGGTACGGGATATTTCAAGACACAATACGATTGCTAACACAATATATTTCGATTACACAGACGAACTTAATCAACTCAACGTGAAAAGCAGAAAAAGTTACAGGAACTTGCAAAAACTAACAAGCACACGGACATTCACTCAATACATTTTCCATTTGCGAAGTTAGTTTTAAAGTTTAGCCACAATACCAAACCATTACATACGCGCCATTTTCAATTGATATTGCCATAGTATATTTAATATTACCACTTAAATTAGAAACATTTCTAGTGACAATTCTATAATTACTATATTATTCTGTAACAAGATATATTATTTCAATAATATTAGGTATCATAAGGCTTTTTAACTAAGTTTCAAGTAATAATAAACAAGATATATTAATGATGCCTTTAAAAATTATCCCCAATTATAAACACATTTATTTATTGTGGCTACACCATGATTTCTATTTTAAAAGCTGGTACATAGATGGCACTGTAAAGTAAAAAAAAATCGAGTTCTAAGTTTGCATAGCATGTTGTATATCATAGGGGAGTAATATAGGTTGGGGTATTGTATATGTAGTTTATGCTACACACATACGTACATACGTTTTTAAAATTTTTATTAAACTACAAAAAAATATCAACGTCAATCACAGAGTGAGTGCTGGTATTGAACTAAGTTTATTAAATCCTACATCGTATATAATGCTTGACATTGGCAAGGATTGAATCGAAGAACATTCAGATAAGTTTTGAGTTTTTTGTTATAGTTAATTTGGTGGTCGATTATTGGGAAAATATCGTAAAAATGGAGGTCGATAGAAGTGTAGAGGATACCCCTGCTTCTCAGAGGCTAACAAATGAAGATTTCAGGAAGTTACTTATGACCCCAAGATCTACACCGGCGGGGGGAGCTCATCCTGCTGGCTCTGTGAGGGAGGCAATGGCTAATGCTGGGTAATCATCAACATGCTTAAAAAAATTCATACCATGTATAATAATGATTGGTTTTTGTAAAATTATTAATCAAGAAACTTTTTTGATATTATTTTTATTTATGTTTTTAGATCTATGCCCCCTCCTACAGAAAACAAAAGTGAATTACGTCGTAAGAAAAAATCATACTATGCAGCCCTCAAGAAACAGGAAGACAATAAATTAGCTGAATTAGCTGAAAAGTACAGAGATAGAGCTCGTGAGAGACGAGATGGAATGAATGAGATTGGTCCTGCTGATCCAACTAGTAATACAAGTAGCGCTTACAGGTAAGATGCAAGTCCTGTATGTATGGAAAAGTGGTCTTTGGACTGTTGGTGTGCCCTGGACGCATTCTTGATATGGCTAGATAGAAAAGGGACTAAACACATTCCCATGTTAAAAAAAAAATATTAGAACCAAATGATAGTGCAGGGTGGGAGATGGTTATTTCTTATTAAAAATGGCATTGATATGCTTTACATGCTTTTTAGTTCCCAACTGAAACTTGTTTTCAGTTATAAAAAATCATGTTTATAATACAAAAATGGCACATTCATGCCTTAAAAAAAAATTAATATCACCTATGTATTTGGATTGCTTTCTCTTCAAAATTTTGAGTAAAATTCAAAATGCAGAGCTTTAGAAAAATTTTGATGCTATTGAATATGTCTGTTGGCACTTTAGTTATAAATAAACTCCTCTATAAGCATCCAGTTACCAAATTGCACCTCCAATAACAGGATATAACTGTGGGATATGATGGCAAGGTACTATCTTTATATAATTTTTTTAGTACTTATGTAATAGTGTAACATTTAAAAATATTTCAGAGCCGTTGCTCCAGATCTCAAATCAGGAATGGATGCTAAAGAAAGAAGAAGGCAACTTATCCAGGTTGGTTTATCAAATAAAATTACATTATAATTGGATAAGTTCCTATGTAAACAAATAACTTCTTTCATATGGTCACCATCCATTTTTTTTACAATGGTGTTTCCGGACTAATGTTTTAACAATGTCAAGGAAAAAATTTAATAGAGAATTAGAGATGCCTAGCCTTTAACATTTTATAAGGTCTAATTATACAAATATTGTATTTTATGTTTATATTTTTTATAGGAATCGAAATATCTTGGTGGTGACATGGAACACACTCACTTGGTGAAAGGGTTGGATTATGCTTTGCTGCAAAAGGTAATTTTGTATTATAGAAAGATAGTTACAAATACTTCATCTTAGGATAAGTTTGGAATCTTTTGTTTACCAACAGAAACAGAATATCTATACATTATATTTTATACTAGATGACCCAGCGTACTTTGTATCATTTCTCACTGTTTAAATATTCTTTGGACAACAATAAATATTTCAAAACAAAAATCAGCTAAACCAGCCAATTCAACTTGAGAATGACTTGAGTTTTGGTTTGTTCAGTGAGACAAACAAACAGCAATTTATTATTATATAGATAACACAAAATATAGTAATTTTGAACAGTATTATGGCAACTAGAATAGAATAAGGAATAGATGATAGTATTATATTCAAAATTTTCTTTATCTGTTGATTTTAAGGAAGTTTCTCCAATCTTGCCTTATATTTGTCACAGAACTAAGTACTATCCTCTCTTACTGTTTAATTGAACTAAAATGTGGCTTTGTGGTTATTAATTCGAGAGGTGGAGGCCAGGAGTGCCATAGAACGGGGTCTTCCTAGTTTGGACTCCTGTCTTCTACATAAACTTGCTGTATTTTTATGTTGTACACATTTGTTGCTCGATATGTAGAAGAAAATAAAATAAAGATTATTATTATTATTTGTTACATTGTAGGTCCGTTCAGAGATTCAGACTCGAGAACAAGAGCAGGAAGCTGAAATGGAGAGATTGGTATCTGCACCTGTTGAACCTGTCAAAGAGAAGAAAGAAGTAGTGGTGAGTGAGCAAGCTATTTTAAACATATTCATATGATGTTTGCATCAAAGTTCTTGGATTTTTTAAAATATGAAGTTATAATCAATATTATGTGTTGTCACAATATCCATATTAATATAATTTGAATATTCTGCAACATATCATAATTATAAGAAAATTCTTCATCTTAAATTAGATAATAAATAGGTAATTTAGTTTTTATCTTGTTAAGTCTGAATATACATATAGTTAAGTCGTAAATAGTTCATTATTTGTTTCATTGTTTCAGCAAGAAGAAGAAATTCAATTCAAAACACAGATGGGCAAAAATATCTTCAACATGATATTAGACCAAAAGTAAGTAATATAATTAAGACTTTTCCTAAGGGGAAGCTTATTTTCTTGTAAGTTTTATGACGTGTGTGCTTTGCTAAATTTTTAAATTTAAAGTTGCAATTAGACAACAATTTACCTGTAAGATCACTGACATTTCAGTGTAACTGTTTACTCAATGTCTCTATATGTTCTTTTTCGTATCTGTGTTGATATATAAGTTTCGAACTTTGCAAATTTCAGCTTTTTTAATATGTTAGTTATTAGGAACAGTTATGTCTATCATTGGTCCTTTCGTCCAAAAATCAACTTTTGCTAGAGTCGCCATCTAGTGCGGTACCTTTTTAGTACTTTCTTTTTTTCTTACAATACTTCCTTATTGCAAAGTCCATCGGTCGCTATTGCGTTCGAGAGTGAAAGGGCTCATTCACTAATAATACCATTGATAATATTGTGGTATATCAATAATTTTGGCCTCGTACTATCGATACTATACTCGGTGGAACAGAACGACCGACACTCCCGAGGTTCCTGGAGAGTACTATTTGTCTTTAATATAATGTAAAAAAAATATAAGTCTAGGTCAAATAGTTTCGAAGATATTAAATTACAAAGTTTTTGAATAAAAATGAGTGTTTTCAACCCTGAGTCAGCTGTTTTTGGGACGTACTAAGGAAAAGTTTTTAATCGGTCATTGACTTCTTCATTTCTAAAAACAAAATAAACTAGTATGTGATTTATAAGACTGCTTTCATGCAAATTCTAGCAGTCAATCAATAAACAAGGCAGTCAAAATGCTTAAATCGATTAACAGACTAACAGCCGGTTTATGATTTGAAAAAAGAAGAAAATTTCTACTGCTTATTCTCAATAATCTAAGTTTTTTTTTAATTTCACAAGTTAAATAGTCTTAGTTTTATCAAACTGCTATCAACTGATCATCAAAAAACTAAAATCGGAAACGAAAACTAAGTGATCTTAGTTACGAGACGTTTAACTTTACATACTCAATTAAAAAAACCGAGTGTAAAATTTCCTAAATTATTGTAGAGAGATCACTCTAACATTAATCTACGTTATTTTAAAAGAGCAGTTCTCCATAAAAATTGTTTGAATGGGGAAATACTCCTTTAACAACGGGATCGTTAACTAAACTATATAAACTCACAAATCTTCCAGCGATTCATCATTAACACAAATGAACTTTGTTTTATAAACATTGAGAAATTTGTTATTAAAATAGCATTTAAAAAGAACTTAAAAAAATGAGTGATATCAAAAGACGAATAAAAAAATATGAACCGAGTTCGTCCCTCAATATCAAAGCCCCGCCCACCCGCCAGCCGCCAGGCGGTTTCATTATTCTGTTGGTATTGTCCGGTCGATCAGTCGCCGCCGACCTTTTGCGCTGGAGTGTTGTTGCGCATCGCCGCCGACGCACCGCTGCGAAGCGTCTTTTTTGTCGGTTTTTGTTTTGTTCTAGTGTATTTTTAATTGAATTGTTGTTAATAAGATACTAGAGTGTTTGTCTTGAGTGTTATGTTTAGTTTTGTGTGAAATGTGATGTGTTTTGCGCGTGCATACACTGGCATGCAAAAGAGCGTGCTTAGCTGTCTTCAGAGAAGAATTGAACATTTTCAGCATCGACTATCATTAAGATATCGGTAAATAATTAAATTAAATTAATGTATTTCGCGGTCCGTTGTAATCTGCGCACAATCGATATTGCGCGTGCTGTCAACACTTAGAAATTTAAAATTTTTACTCCATTTTTACACCTCCTCTATTTTTAAATATTTGTCAAATAAAATGAACGTTTGCATGTAACCTAACTTGAAACTTTCGGCTGTGTCGGTCATTGCTGTGTCCTGTATATAGGCTCTCGATACTATTGATGTGACTAGGATCTGCAATCTAGACATAGTTTATGATCGTTATCTTAACGAATTCTGCGTTAACTAAAAGCGATCGCAATTTAACGATTAATACAAGTCCTTACAGATTAATGTTATTTGTTAGGCACGTACCAAGTGCAACTGTTCAATTGGCGATATTCGTTAGTTTCCTAGCGATCGAGTTTGACAACTCCGATCAGTGAACTCTGCGATGTGCTACTTAAAGATCGCTACCAATGTCGAGATTGCATGCCTAGGTATTGATAGACTGTCTGTTGTTTAGCGACAGTCGACAATGTGTTAAATGAAAATGTTTATAGGAACAAGAAAGTGGCACGTAACGAATTGTTCGCTCCTGGCCGTATGGCGTACGTAGTTGAGTTGGAAGAGGAGGGCACTATCGACAGCGACATCCCCACCACTCTGACACGAAGCAAGGCTGACGTGCCGGAGTTGGACGAGAGGAGTTCCGCCTCTAGTGCTAATGATGTGGTCCTAGAAAAATTGGCACAGATATTCTCTTACCTGCGACACGGTAGACATAGGAAGCAGAAGAAGACGAAGGTAAGTATATCTATATTTCTATACTATTATTATAAAGAGGAAAGATTTGTTTTCTTGCAATGAATAGTTCCTGAAACTACTGGACCGATTTTAAAAATTCTTTCACCTATATCATATGCGGTGAACATAGGCTATATTTTATCCCGAAAAACAGCAAATAAAGGGATGAAAATGGGATTGGAAGTTTGTATAGTGAATTAAACATTACCATAATAACCATTGTTTAGTATTCAGTTTTTCATTGCAGTGATATCTGTGTTATGATATAAATCGATATCCAAGTAAACAGTCCTCTAGAGACCACGCGGGCAAAACTGCGGGCTGAAAGCTAGTAAAATATACATACATATAAGTACTTCAATGCTCCTATCATGTAATTATACTTTCATTGGCTTGAATCAAATTTACTTAATGTCTCAAATTAATATTTTTACATCAAAATACGCGGCATTCATGTTATTGGTTTCTACACTGTTTCTAAATAAAAATAATGATTATATTTTACAATAGGACGTATTACTGCAACTTTCTATCACCAGATTGCAATTCTAGCATATGTCATAAATAGTCTATATAGATGTCAAATGTGATATTCTTAATGAAAAATGCTTACAAAATCCACTTTGTCCTTGGAATTCTGCGATGGGACTTAAACCCATGACCTTTCCCATGAAAATGGGGCTGTCTCATCTCAGGGTTCCAGGGACAGAGTGGATTTTTGAAGCCTTTTTCATAAACAATGTTTTTCAGTAAAGCATTGTCAATGCAAAATTGATGAAATACAATAATAGTGATCATTGTAAGATTTTAGAAAGAGTGTAATTTTATCCCTTGGTTTCTAGGGCACTACTTATCAAACGGTCTATTTCTCATTTTGAGTACTTCTCTAGAAGCGTACTTCGCAAATTTCTTCCTCTTAATTTTGCATTTAACTTACTCGTATTTCTTAATTGACTACTAGTCAAAGAACAATCAAAGTACAGACAAATAGAATTATTCATTACATTTCCCAAGAAAGGAGCAATTTTGAGTGGGGTTTGTTTTAAATTAACTACTCTATATTGTGGAATAGGATTACTATTAATGTACGGACGGCGGACAGCCCAAAATGCCACTTATTATTGTTATATGGGTATCAAATGAAAGTTTGCTTTAAAAATATGAAAATAAGAAAAATAATAAATAATATAATAATCAAAAGAAAGGGTGCACTGAGAGGATTACGATTTTAGTATAAAATGTGAGATACTCTAGTAAAGAGATAAGGAATACATTAATGAATGATAAATGAAATATGCTTTATTGTACACCAATACAGGACAAAACAAATGGGTACAATTACTTAAAACGCACAATGCGCGTCTTTATTATTAAAAAAATAAATAATATAAAGAAAAAAACACCCGACTGCGTTAAAACGAATTTTAAAAAATACATGAAAAAATAACTGAAATAAAAACTAAAAAAAAAGAAACAAGCCCAGTATTACAATAGTTTTAGAATCGATACACACATAAAACAAATCATAAATTCTAATGCAGAACAGAATGACTCATAGTCGGGGCCCCTAGGGAAGTTTTCATTGGTAAAATTTGAAATGGAAAAGCGGGTTTTTCCAATAATACATGTTTCCTGTATATCTGAAAATTAGTAAGAAGGAAGGGAATTTCATTTATTCATTTATAAACGAGAGAATGTCCGAAAAAGTTTGTTTGTTTACTACATGTGCTAGTGCTGCCATCTACTTGAAGCTTTGCGTAATATTCCCATATTGAGACTGTACTTTCAATGATTTTTGACATTCCTACTGTTTTAAAAACTCTTTAATGTTTGTGCTAGTGTTACATACATACACATAGTTGCATAAGGGTTGCAAATTCTGTCGAATGAGCGCGCGTCTTTTTAAATCTCTCACGTAAGGTGTGCCTGTGCAACGGAGATAAGGTTGAATTTGTTACGATAATAATTGGATTTACGCTTCGATACACTTCGATACGCTTCGACTATACGATACAATAATAGGTATATTTTATTTCATTAGGTTAAGATTAATAGTGAACGAATAAATGAAATTTGTTGATCAACACCGTCGGTATATATTTTGGTTTGATTGCATTAATTGAATATATTGTTTAGGATAAGACAACAGAGAAGGGTCGAGCAGATGATTCTATATACGGCGAGATAGGAGATTACGTAGCCGGAGACAAACGTGCAGACCGTAGAGATGAACGACCGCGCACTGGATACTTCGATAAACCCTCCGAGACTGAGAAGGAAGAAGGTAACGTGTCATTCTTTTATACGTTATCAACCTATTAATATTACTAGGCAGAAGGGATGATGACTGGGTAAAAAAAATGCAATTCTATTTAGTCCGTCAGTCAGATAATTGAAAAATATTAGATACGTATTTTTTTTTTACTTCAATTTAACAAGAAATAGCTTAGATAACAGGCATTAAAGTTGCGGAGTGGGAGCTCGCTACGTCACAGTTGAGTAGAAAACGTACCGTAACGTGACGTCATGCGAAATTTCAACTCCATGTAACGCCGTAATTTTATGAATACGAAAAAAATACGTGTTTAATATTTTTTAACATTACCTGACGGACAAACAAACAAAAATTCGTCATCATTCCTATAATATGCATAGGCATTTCCTGATGATATCATACAAGAATCGGCGGTGGCTTAGAGTGGTTAGTTACGTAATTTTTGGGTGTTAACGACGATAAATGCAGTCGGGAGTGACGGCTTAACTTGTCTTTCGAAGCACGGAGGAGCTGGAGACATTAAATTTTTGGTCACCCATCCGATAATGGGCCTTTGTGACAGTTGCTTAACTTTCACTAACCACGTAACTCGTAAGCTCACTCCAAAAGTTGTCGTTTTCTTAAATGCACAGAACAGCACATCAGACTAAACAAACGTGACTAATTTCTTATACTTAATTTTCAACCTTATTGCTACTGGGGAAATTAGACATATTGTGGTAACCTGACATGTAGCCGTGTGTAGTTTGAACACAAAGAGTTTGTGGAAAAATTAATTTATGTATATTTGTTTTTTAGGTCCAGGGCCTCTACCACGTCGTCAGATTCCTGCGAGTGCGGAGGAGCGAGACAAACGATCGGCCGCGTTACTCTCGCGTTTAGCCGCGGAACCCGAAGGATATGCCGAGTGCTATCCCGGCTTGAGGGAGATGGACGACGCTATCGATGATTCTGATGATGAAGTCGACTATACTAAAATGGATGCTGGCAACAAGAAAGGACCTATTGGTGAGTCATAGCTAGATAAATAGAGGTGGAGGGAGAGATAAAGAAAGAGAGAGAGAGGGGGAGAGAGGAGAGGATAGATGGAGAGAGAGGGGAGAGAGAGATTTTGTTACACAAGTTATTTACGTGTATCATATACTCTGTAAATATGACGTCAGCGTTAGTAACAGACAGCAGACATGGTTTGGAAATAAACTCATAGAATATAGTAATAAATTCAAAATATCTGGACCAATTTATATTGAAAACATTATTATTACTATAACGTACTGTAACGTACAATAAACTAGATAGTAAATAGGCTTTGATATAAACTTTTTATTACACGCGGATAGCTTATTATGAAGAATTTTTTTTTTTGCTTTTATTAAACTACTTCTAATGGTTTAGGTCGTTGGGATTTCGATACTCAAGAAGAATACTCTGCGTATATGAGCAGTAAAGAGGCTTTGCCTAAAGCAGCTTTCCAGTACGGAGTGAAGACACAAGATGGACGTAAGACAAGGAAGACTAAGGATAAGAGTGAGAAGGCAGAGCTAGACAGAGAATGGCAAAAGGTAAAGACTATAAATGATCGATGTTCAGGATTTTATATTTCTGTTTTTTTTGTTTTCATTACAATATTTAACATATTACTGTTTGAAGGACCTAAATATACTCATTTTAAGTTAAGCACAATGAGATTTGTTTTTTATTATTTAATCATAGTTGGTTACTCGATTTTTTTGGGAAAAGTATTACAAAATTTTCATATGAACATATTAAATCGCTACCAGATTTATTTTTCTCCAAAAAATGTTTAATTAAATAGAGGAAAAACATATTTTTATTCAATAATTTAAATTTTCGTCACACGATCCTCCATCATGGTTGTCCGCATTTCTGTTCTTTTAATCCTCAGATTATAAATCACAAGTCAATTTTGTAAAAATGAAATTTACTTAAGTATGACGATATATTTCAATAATAACTAATAAATATTTCCCTCTACAATCAAGTAGCCAATTATATATTATTTTAACTAATATGATATGTAAATTAAGTTTTTATTTAGTTACATAACAATTATTATTTTTGTGACAGATTCAAAACATCATACAGAAACGGAAGGCGCCACTAGGGGGCGGTGAGGAGCCAGCCTTCAAAACACCAAAATTTGCACAGTAAAAGTCTCGTAGTGATAAATGAAGTGAATTTAACTCGCACTGTGTGTGTTCTATTGTTGAACATAAAAATGATATATTATGTTAGTTTTGTACATTATGTTAACTAATCTTATTGTAAATATAGATCTTTTTGAATAAATTGTGAAATTGATCCAGATCTTTTTTGTTTTGCTTTTGTTTTACTATTGTAGTGATATCATTTAGTGGCTTAAAGCATATCATTTTATTGACATAGCTTAACTCAGCGTTTGTGGTGCCGTAAAGCCTATGCTGGGAATTCACTGAAATAATGGTCATATTTCGTTGAATTATAAACATTAAGTGGACCATGGCCCTCCACGCTTGCCCAATGCGGATTTAAGGTTATTAATGACTGCAAATGCAGCCGGCACCAACGGCTTAACGTGCCTTCCGAAGCACGGAGTAGCTCGAGATTATAATTTTTCGCCCACCCATCCCGTGATTGACCTTTGCGAAAATTGCTTAACAACAGCAACCGTGGTTTGTGGGGTACTCGGTTAACGTTAAGTATAACACTTGGTACGATAAATACTGCGGACTGTATCAATAGGAAAAGAAAAGACACGTTTAGGGTAATGATTATAAAAAATATACTTAGTTTGTACCACATCAAGAACTTTATATTTAAAGTTCTTGTATTTGAACTTTATATTTAAAGTTCTTGTACCACATACAACGCTACACTAAACAAAGAATGCTCAAAACTGTCTGTAAAATGTAAAACAAAACGAATACAAAAAATATTTATAAAAAGTTTTGTTTTAGGGCTCCGTGTAAATAGATATTTGTTTTTCTAAAGAGTTAATGCCCCATAGCTACTTAACTGAAATTTCTGAATGTAGTTTCCCTGTAATACTGAGAACACATATTTAACATTTTCGATTGGAAAATTCATAAGAGCCCATAACATACAAAGAGCGCAACGTAAATGTCGCTAATAAAAAAAAAACATGTTGGAAAACAATTCCTTCACTTCTTTTAAATGAGAAGTTTAAGTAAAAAATACCTTTATTATTGCGACGAAAACAAAGATTTATAATTCGCTTCAGATATTAATTGTACTAATCAATTACAATATCTAATGTACTTAAAGCCACTTGAATTATATTGCTATTTGTATATTTCAGCTCTGGAATCGACCACAATGATTCCAGAATCGGCAGGCCTAATAATGCTATAATAGATCTAGCCCCGAAAGACTAGTGCAAACAGAAACTTAACTAGAAACTACTACGTTGGTTGGATATCGCCATGAAGGTAACTATTGATGTAATATAATATTTTAATTAAATTTCGTATTTCATTTGGATCACAAATAAATTGTTACATGTGAGTATTGTAAGTATTGTTTAAATGAACATTAACAGCTGCAAATTATGAATAAATGAACTATAAAGACAACAAATTATCGTAGATGAAGATGTAGTGGTGAAGGATAAACTTTTGTTCTGTACCTAACTGTAAATGAAATTAATGTCATGCGCGTCAGTTTCGTCGTGTTTAAAGAAAACAATGATCTCCCATCGGTCGCCCGCCTGACCTTCAGATTTCACTGCAGCAACACTGAAAAGTGTGGCATTCCGTCACGTATATTATGTGACGCGGCATATTGAGTGAAAAGCGACCGAATTTGCAACGATCGTTTGACACCATGCCGGTTCATCGGCTCGGGTCCGGCGTGGCGGGCCTACCTAAGGCCGAGGCGTCTTCACAGGTGCGTAAGCGCAGCGCAGGTATAGGTCCCCGCGCTCCCTTCCCTCCGCACCGCCAGCCATCTTGAATTCCGTTCACTCAGACCCGCGCCTGTCTCGCGGCCTGCGCACGTACACGGCGACCGCGACGGAACAATTAGTGATTCTAGTGTTTCGGTGTCATGTTGTGATTGTGTAGTGACGAAATGGAATCGACTCCCATCTGTCGGTGCCGCGTGCTCTATCTCGGCTCTGCGGTGCCGCAGCAGAGCAAGGACGGCCTTCAAGGAATTCAGGAACCGCTTCGCGAGTTGTATCCGGAAAAGGGAGCGACCAGCGGCGGTATCGACTCATGGCTGTCAGTGTGGTCTAATGGAATCTTGCTAGAGAACGTCGACGAGAGTGGTTCCAGGGTCGCTAGGTTTTTCCCCATATCGAGTTTGCACTATTGCGCAGCGGTGCGCCGAGTGACAGTCGAAGGAGCACCTAGATTTTTACCCTTGGATTCGCCCTTCGCTCGAGCGCCGGCCCCACGACGTCCTCCTTTATTCGCGGCGGTTTTACGCCGTACTCAAGGCATTAAAGTTTTGGAATGTCACGCCTTTATATGCCGGCGCGAGGCGGCTGCCAACGCGCTAGTTCGGTGTTGTTTCCATGCTTACGCCGATAGTTCGTATGCGAAACGCCTGGAGGCCGAACGCAGTCCGTCGCAACTACCGCCTGAACCGGACGAAGAGTTGGAGGTGTTCGATGGCGACGAGAACCACAAAGTATGGGTCGGGGAGGTGGAACGCGACGATACGAGCGACGACATCCCGCACCCCGCGCGGGCGCCTCGTCCTCGGCAGATCACGAGGCCCGCGTCGGTACCGCCGCCTCCGCCACCCCCTGAGGAGCCGAAGAAGAAGACATCTACGACGAAGAAAACTAAGAAAAAGTCTTCGGCTTCAGCCGATGAGCTGTACGCGACTATGCCGGGGCCGGCTCCGATGATGAACGGTCGATCGTTAGGGCGTGCGCCTCCAGCGTGGGCGGCACACCCCATGGTACTGGTGCCGCACCCGGCGGCCACGCTGCCCCACGCCCGGCCTGCTACACTCGCGCATCGCGGCCGCGTGCCCGCCGCTATTGCTCCAGGGCCTTTTCCTGGGCCCCCAGGACGAGGTCGCCTCCAGTACGCTACTGTTGACCCTCGTCGTTCCAAACCACCACCTCCATCTTTAAAAGCAGCTCAGAGCATGACGGGTCTCGAGGCTGTCGAAGATAGTGGTGGCATATATAGGAAGAAGGGCCACCTGAACGAACGAGCGTTCTCGTACAGCATCAGGCAGGAACACAGAAGTCGATCTCATGGGTCCCTCGCCAATCTCAAGTTCGCCGCTCCGCCAGAGGTAAATCTGAAATTTGATAATTAATAGTAATTAGGTACTCAGTAAGTTGATGGTAAAATTCTGCTTTCTATTTATTCGTCTTAAATGGCGATATCTATTTTCAAGAATCTTTAAATTTGTAGAGTTCATTAAGTGCCTGTTCCTTAATGACGTATACATAACGCGATTATAATATTTAATAATCTGGCTGCATGAAGATGTTGGCGGTTACACAATATCTATAAGTAGGTGCGTCAACAAACACGGATAGTACCTACTCTTGTAGGTTTGTATTTATATTGTGCAACTAGTTAGCTTCTTTTATTTTAGCTTAAACATCCATTGGAGTTAAATATTTGACTACTCATTTGTGTATTTTATTTATTGATTTATCTGTTCAAACAGTCATGTTCTAAATCCAGCCTCAACATTATTTCGTTGAGTGAAGGCCGACAACATCTTTGCCCATTAGTTGATTACATCCACTTATTTGGCCATCATTCGCCTCCATAATTAACTAGTTCTAGCTTTTTAATGATTGATTCTGCCATTACGAAACTTGCTTAGAGTAATTCCCCCAATGATTTACTTTACCATTCTTAGTTTTACAATAATAGGTAATTACCTTATTACGATCGGTTAATTGTTCTACTTTTTTCCTTGAATTTGCCAAGCGAAAAATCGAAAATTTTATTTGTAGGTCACGAAATGAGGACAATGTTAAGAATAATAATACTACGCGATTACAAATGCGAATACTCAATCATTTTTATATATCTCTCGTGGGGACCAAATAACATATACCTACCAAAATATAATTAAGTATTTTTTCTTACTTTTGCAAAACTAATTTACTAAGAAAGGAAAAATGCATCATAAAAGCTTCAGATTTAGGCTCTCGAACTCGTCGACGAGCGCTATCATGGTAAGAAGTTCAATCAAATAAAACCTACTTTAAAAGGGAGTAAAGGTTTTATTTAATTGAAGCCTTATGACGCGAGAGCTGCCGCTGCTTTCAGATTGCGACTGTTTTTAAATTATCCAAGTTGTTGTTAAGTACTTACCTAAAGAATGCACTACCTAATGTATAAAGATATCAAAATGACGTGACCATACGAGTCTCTCAATTAAACTTCAGAATAAAGATCAATATTCTTAGCCTTGGTTTCAGTTGGCGAAACGTTTAGGAGAAAAACATATTTCTGTTAATAATTCATATTTTAGAATGAATGAATGAATGCTTTATTGTACACCAGACAATTTATACCTAAGAGAATTAAGATTGATGCAATTCAGTAGTACAATCGGCGGTCTAAGAGGGTATTAAATGCATTGTGTTAACATTGACTAGGAAGCTCGCCTCGTATACAGTATTCTGTTTAAGGCCTTTAGTACTTTACGTACTTTAGGGCCAAAGACGTCAAGGAGCAGTAAACCGAGAGAGGAGGCCTAATCGGCGGGTCGTAATTTCTTTTTCGATAAATCTGAGAATTATATTATCAGCCCACATAAATATTCAGCTGAATTTTGTTTTACTTATAATAAAAATATGTTCTTTTTCCTTTATTTTATGCGAATCGAAAGTGCATGGGCGGAATGGGACCTCAGTTTTGCTAATGTTATTAGGTTAATAGTTTCCCTATATAATAAAGTACTTTGTGGTTAATAGGAACTGTCAGACAGTTGTCATTGAAGCGTCATTAAACTTGTAATTGAACAGAATTAGGGCCATGCGACGCTGAACTTCAAATTAATACTTTTTGTCACTGGTGGGGCCGAATATCTATTCGTTGCAAGTCTAATTCTTTATAAATATTGCGCAGATACAAACCTAGTGTAAGATTATTAATTATTTTCATTTTACCTCATAAAAAGTGCGTGATAAACGCAAGCAAATAACACTTATATCGCTACACGAAGTTTCACTGACGTTGATTCATAGACGACCTGTCAATGATGTTATTCTGCAACATTCAAGGAAGGTCATCGGATATAAACCTTCCTTCCTTATTTTCGTTTTCTTACCCGCTACAACAATAACCATTTTTAATTTACTAGCTATCCCCCTAGTGGTCCTGTATTTATACTATATGTACATATTGAATTTACCTCTTAAATCGCTCTTTCTTAACCGCATTAAAATTCGTTGTATAGTTTAAAAGATATTAGTGTACAGACAGCGACTTTGTTTTACACATTGTATAGATTTAGTCATATATTTAGCAGTAACAAAATGTCTTCAGCAATTTTTGTTAATGAAAAGAGGACCTAATATGTTTCTCTGATAGTGAAAATTCGTCTATTCTCAATACGCTGATATGATTTAAAAGAAACACATTTTCGATAATTTATGATGTAATTGAGGTAGGAATTGTCACTGCCTCTGATGATTATATAATCTTCTTGGATATGACTTTAACAAAATAATAAGAACGAAATTCGATTCGAAGAACTAAAAAGAAAATTCAAAATTTTCCGTATGTTTGTTGAAGGTCAAATAGAATAGGCCCTCAGATGTCATGTTAAGTCGTACGATGTCATTCCACAGCCCGCGAGCTGGTCTCCAATACTAGAAGTGGGTGGCCCGGCGATTAAGACCGGGTTCCTGGGTACCATTTTCACATGAGGGCAGTCCCAGGGTTTTTAGTGGTGGGCCCGTTCTTTGAGTAGGAGAATTTCACGGTCTCACAGTCAAGTGGCAGGGATAGTGTGTAACGCATCTTACTTGGGTCAAACAAATAGGCGTCATAATCTTATTTAAAAAAAAAAATCTTTAAAATCGTATAATATGCGTAATTGATTAAAATTATTGCATTTTTTGTAATTTAATTAATTTTTACCGTTCACTGGATGCGAAGTATATCTACTCAGATAAAGAAGGTTCTAATTACATTCTTACCTGCATGCAACGCTAATGTGTACGTTACAGTGGTTTTGTAAGACTAAATTAATTATATATATATTAATGTATTAATTACTTTGAGTTATTCGTTCATAGTAGATTACGTAAATAAGAAACAAAAAAAGACCAAACCGTTAATATACGTACTGAAACAAGTCACAGTGGATCCATTTTGTAAAGCATAATTCAAATTTGTAGCCAGGATAATGCCTTTTCCCTATAAAGAAAGAAAATAGAGACGGGTATTTTTTGTTGATTATAACCCTACGCAATAATGGATTAATGATTGAAACACATATAATAAGAAATACAGATGCAAAAGGCGGCCTTATAGCTAAGGTAGCAATCTTTACCAGGCTACCCTTGGCTAAAAGAAACGATAGCGTAATAATCGTTATGACTAGATATATCGATGTCATAATATTCCTCAAAATATACAGTAGGTATGTGAATAGATAAACGAACATTGTAAAACTATAATTAACATTTTATAGTTAACAAGCTTTCCGCCAGAGCGGCTTCGCCCGCGTGGACCCCAGGGAACTGTTTAGTGGGTTAAATAGTAGTCAATATGGTAAGGTAAGTTAAGGTTTAATGATCATTTAAAGCTTTACGTTCTTAATTGGAAAATTTGCATCGATAATGTCGCTTCAACTAATAACAATTTTAATGTACATTTTTGCAACCAGGTATAATAACAACAATAATATATCACATAACATCACATACTTTGCTTAGATCCCAATATGAGTAGCTAAAACCCTCGTATGGAGTGTCTGAGACAACTAAGATAACAACATCCAGACCCGAAGTAACACAGAAAAGTTCATTTCTATATTGACCCGACCGGGAATCGAACCGGGACGTCACAGATGTCGACGCTTTGAAAGACAATTATTTGTCATACATTTGCAAGGTGTTAAGATTTTTTTTCGTTTGCCTACTTTAGCTATGCTGTTCAATGTTCAACGTAATAATATCTTTATTACATTTTGAAGTAGGTTTTATTTTATTGAACCTATGTATCAGCGCTGTACTCGACATCGGCTGACTTTATTACAGAATTATGGCAGCTCATTAACGACGGCAGTGAAAATTTAAAATGAAACTGACATGTTGATGCATTGCGTTGTTACATGAACAATCATTAATCTATCATAAAATTACAGCTAACGGAACGGTGAGCGTACGGCAATGGATATATAATAAATATTAGATATAAAAAAAAAATAAACGTACTTCATTCAAAATAAAACTACTAAGTAACTACGCACAAGCGCAACTTCCACATACTTATTCGTAGTAAGCTCTTAGGCGACATGTTTTCGAATTTTTCAAATATCATTATATTTCAGTCAATTCACATAACTCCTTATTTAATTGTATATCGAAATTAGTGACCCGCAAGAGAACCCGTAACAAATTTCAATCAGGCGGCTTTCTTTTATGAATATGTAAGAAAGTATCATACTAAGTATGTGTCTAATAATAAGACAATATTGAAGTCATTTTGGTTATAGGCAACTTAGAAGCAACAGTGCTATTTTGCAAAACAGCTTCAAACTTGACATCTATCGCAGCGCTGTCATATCATAGAAATACAATGAAATAAAACCTATGTCTTTCTAAAGTTAATATAATTTAAATAAAAATCCTCTTATTATCATGGTATCGCGTTGAAATCTTTTGTATGTACATGTATTTGATTGGTTCTCGACTATAAAAGGTACAGTATAGATGAAAGCGTAAGTCAAAATAAAGTCAGTGTTTAAATTTCATTTTAAAAAGTGTTGATCAGTAAAGTAATTCATTCCGGTGGGAATGCGAAATATTCGATCAGATTGGAGCAAGTTTCTTATTCGTTAACTCATTTTTACTTTTATTGGGTTTTTGAAAGTTTTTGAGACATTGTTTTTTAAGAGTTTAAACCAGGTTTATAAAATTTAATCAAACATCGGACAACCTGCGAAATTGATTAAACGCGTCTTTAGATTTTTATTCAATGCAATAAATGTGAGGTAATTATAACATTCTTTTAGTAACTAACTAATTGACGTGCATGACGAAACTGATCGTAAATATGACACGACATCAATTACAGAGTAGTCGTGCAAATCGA